TTTCCCCCAACAGAGAGCTTCTATAATATCCAATTCCTTCTGTCATCACCTTGACATCATGACATTCACATGGCAATGACCACATGCAGGACGATGCCATTGGTTACGAGGACTGAAAGTGCCAGACTAGAGATAAACATAAGGTCACTTTACGGTTATCTTTTATACACTCGTGCCTAGGAGGTCTGAAAAATTTCTGTGGAAAGATGACAATGCAATCCTTATTAGAACTGCTCATTAAAGAAATACATATCTTAGGAACAGAATGCCAGCAAAAAATGAGGAGAAACAGATGGGAAAGATGGAAATAGATTGCCTCAACCTTTAGCCCTGTGCAAGGAATTTGTTCTGCCTTTGAAAATGTTTGGTTTAGTCTCCCGACTCAGATTTTCAGAGGGCCTTTGTAATCCTTCTGTAGCACACTTGCTGGTAATGCTCTATCTTGGATCAGCTCACAGGGAGAAGAGCTGATGGACGTGCTCCCAGTCCTGCATGGATGGGCAGGATGAATCCTGATCTGGGTACAGAGGAGGAAGTACTGAGGTCAGGACAGCCGTGCAACAAGCTGGCACTACACCAGGCGCCTGTCTCATTGCACGAAGACAAGGCAGAGCAGAGGATGTGTCATACCTCCCTACATCCCTCCTTGAGACTATTATAGACACCTATTCCAGACGCACACTGCACACATTATTTCACTCTCCCCTGCTTCTTTTTTTTTCCTCTTTGCTTTCTAAGCCTGCTTTCAGGCTCTCCTGTAGCAACACATAATAAATTAATCCTTGCAATGTTTTGCCATGGTCAGGCCAAAAGCTACAAGTAAGCATAAGTGGCCCGATTCTAAAAGAAATAAGTCTTACTCCAATGTAATAAATGTGTTTAAAATGCGGTGAACCTGAGCATTTCCACTGTCGTAATCACTGCAGACCCAGACTGCGCTTCCATGGCTTTGGGCTTTTTTCTTCTTTCCCTCTTTATGAATAATAATAATTAAAGAAAAAGTAAAGCAAATAAGCATTCGCAACAAAACCTAGAAGCTGCCATTATCTTGTTTCTCAAAAAAGATTGATGATATTTTCATGAAAGTCAAGATAAAATATACAACTGCAGAAACAAAAAGAGATACAGCTACAGATTTCTTCATACTGTTTTTTCCCCCTTCCCATTTTTTCCTCCCCTAAGTTTAAAATAACATTTAAATACTTGCTTATGTTGCCTGCGTATGTTCCAAGTATCTAGGAACAGAAGCCAAGCCCTGCATTACTGTAAAATAACAGAAAGAAGGTAACAAATAGATGTGCATAGACCATAACATCCCCAAGTCCTTCCATATGTAGTCCAACCCACAATGATCTCTCAACAGAGCACGTGACAAAGCACGAAAATTCCTGTATTCTCATAACCATCTGCAGAGCCTTCTTTTAATTTTGCAGCTCACAAGATTTGTAGCACCGTAGCAGACATCCCTGTTCACTTTGCAGGCTGCAAATACCATAACTTGCAGATAACTTCTTAAAGACATGACAACGAGGTGCTCTTCCATAAAAACTACACAAGTCACTTCCCCCTCCCTTTCTGGCAATACCTGACATATTAAGGTGGTAAAGATGAAGAAAGTGGATGTGTTAATAGTTATCGCTGCATATGCTGAAAATCAGACGGAGTTAAAATAACTCTTTTACCCTTCAGATTCCTTTTACCCCATAAATTTGTCTGCGGATTTATTTTTACCACCTTATTTTTTTAAACATACGTACAGACAGCACAATTTCTTTGAAACAGGGAAGAGGCAAAACATGAGAGTATTCCTAAAAATGAAGTTGGCCTTCAGAAAGCTGAGATAATGCTAATATTGCTCTCTCTCAGGTCTGAGTGTTATTGAACACTCAATAATAATAATAACCTTGAGGGTTACTGAGTGGATCTGCCAGTTGCTGGATTGCCAGGGACTACCAGGTACCAGGGCAGCACGTCCTCTATGCTCCTGGAGCAGCTTTATTTATGAACCTTTATACTCTTGTTGTAAAGGAAAACATTTATTGCTACAGAACAGAGTAACCCAGGGATCCACAGGGAAGTGAGTCTTCATAACCTTTGCTTTCTTTGACTGATTATCAGTTTAGAAGCACATTAGAGCTGACAGGGGTCTGTTAGGAAAAGACAACACTTTTTTTTTATTTTCTCCAAAGTGTCTTTGGGTAGACCTGTACCTCTTCTGCCGTCCTTACCAACATTTTTTTAAAGATTTAATCCCCCATTTGAAACCATCAGATTTTTAAAACAACAATCTTTCACGAGTGAAACTTTTGCCAGAACTCTTTAGGGGTGCACTGAAAACAAAGTTTTGACTCCTGGCACGATGCCCTGTGGCAAATGGCCTTCCCAGGGCTCTAACTCATTCCATCTGCAACATCCAGGGAGCTACGGGTGGAGATGGAACAGTTGAGAAGTGTTTGGGGAGGAAAGGCAGCCCTCTCCTCCACCCAACACCCTTACGGAAAGCTGTCTGCCCTCTGCCAAAACCTCTCAGTGAGGCTTGCTTTCTTTTCCTCAGTTTCCTTTTTATGGGAAAAAAGGAGCACTCTACAGTGATGCAAACAGGAAAGGACTGCTCTCCAGAGAAGTGTGACTACTTTCTTCTAATAATAACAGAGAAGACAAGCAATCTCAGCATTTTCAAGAGTTTGGAGGAAAACGCAATCCAGATTCTTAAACTGGATCCACCTAGTTGATCTCTTGCCCCCTTCCACTTGGAGGTGAAAGTTATCAACCAAGGGTTTCTGAATGGGTAGCAACTGTTGCTATGGATCTGAGGTGAGAAATAAGGGCTGTGCTCCTTCACTAGCATTTTACTGGGGTAGCCTGGCATTAAGGGGACAATACATGAGGCATTGCTGATCGGCCAGACCACCAGGAATGAAGCTGATCCACTTGCTTGCCTAATTGCTGAAATTATGTGAAGGAATGCATGTGTACAGAGGGGAAAATATCAACAAAACCAAAAAGATGAAAGCATTCCTTGGAGGGGCTTGGGTGTACCTTACACCTCAAGCACAACATGCAGCATAGTTTCAGCACTGCAGCTGTAGTCAAACATTCTTGAAAATACTGACACCTGAAGCCTGACACAGGGTCGCCTGTTCCATTGCTATATTGGCACCCAGCGTATCTGGGAATGTGCAAAGAATGTTCTTCCTCCTCCCTGCCCAGCTAAGTAATTTTTTCAGTAAGGAACAGAAAATACTTACTGAAATACAGCAAAATCAAAGTAGAGGTATTTTAAACAAGTTAAAAACCCATCTAAACATAGAATAAATGACAGAAATCCTGAATACTTTAGAAGAAATATTTCTCAGTTCTTCAGCAAAGGTGAAAACAGCAATGACTGAAAGAGCATCTACCACACTGTGCAATGTTCCAGTGCTGTTGCAGTGTACCAGTTAAAATCAATGCCAACCAAGAGAAGTGCCCATCTCTTCCAGAAAGTAAGATCAAGATTCCTACCAGAGATCCTTTCCAACACTCCTTGCCAACTTCAGACAACTCTAATCCTCACCTGCTGAAACCTCTTTTCTTAAATAAACCAATTATAAAATAAAATTAACCATTTAGAGCGCTATCTCGTTGTTATTTCCATATATATGCAGTACACTTATGCCTCATCCTGCTTGTTTTTGTGAAATCACAAAAACGCTTCTGTGCGGTGACTTAAAGATCAAAGCTCAACATCAAAGCCAACAGCCAAAACGTAGACTGTGCCCTGACAGTTCAGGAGGTGGGTTCAGAAGCACAGAGAAAGGCAGAGCTGTTTAGAAAGTCACATCCAGTGACCTTTGGTGTTTGCAGGGAAGGCATCTGTACGTTCTTCTGCAGCAGAGAAAGTGCAGTTCAGTGGAAAAAGACACAGCACCCCAAGTAATTCAGGTTGTGCCCCCTGAAGCTTCATTCAGATTTACAGTCACCAATTTTAAATAACAGCTTTTCTAGATTGCTCTTCAGAAAACAACCCTAAACATGGCTGTCATTTTTTAGAAGTAACTTCCCTACGTCTCCAATATCTGATTAGTCAAAGCTGAAATTAATCCAGCTAAAAGTTTGAACTAGATGTTATTTTCACATTCCAGCTCTATCTTACTATGGTGGTATATGATGAATGCCTTTTTTTTCTTTTTCAATCACTGCATAGTGTTTTTATCTTCCCCTCTAAAATTATTACAAGTAATTCAACGTATTATCATTTGCATGCACTTACTGAAGCTAAATGAAAGAAAAATCAGCCTGCATTATTTTTACATGGCAAAATACTTTTGTCCCCTGGTAAATTTGCACATCTTCTCACAGATTTCTCCGGATTTTTCTCCAAATATGGAACGGTGTTTTTTTCCTCCTTCAAATATCATGCCCATTTCTTCCAAAATGCCAATCAAAAGCAGCTGAACACAAGTGGTGGATTGCCTTAAAATTACAACCAAGCAAGTGATTAACTTTTTAAACAACCCTTCCCCTCCGTATCCTCAGGCAGTATTAATTTGGATGCAAATTATTAAGCTAAACATGTGGAAGCACAACTCAAGGGAGCAAAGACAATTTCACATTATCCTAACAAGTTTGCTCGAGGAAAATGTACTTTTTCCCAGCATTGGACATAGGGAAGCCTTGCTTACTTGTCTTCTGGATGGAAAACTGTGTCAAAACCCTAGTTTTCCCTGCGGAAGCCACAAGCAGTGTGTTTAAGAGCCACCAGAGCCACAGGAGTGTAATCACAGCCATGGGTCCCGGCTGGCAGGCTGCTGAGGGCTTCATGATAGCATCCATTTATCAGCACGCTAGCACTCAGCCACAGTCAAAGGCTTTGGCTCTCTGTAATTTAACACAGTACAAAAAGATTTTCAAGTCCAACTGGCTGAGGAGACGTCCGATACGAAACATCCCTGGTTAAAATACTCAGAACGGCAAAAAAAAATGAGTAAGCAATAAGTGACACCTAAGGTCTTACTTACCATAAATTCCCGTCGAAATGCAGGGGAATGCCTGTAAAACAAATGAAAGAACAAACATCAGTGGGATTGCTGTGTTCTGAACATTTTTCTCAAAACCAAGGGTATTTTTAAGTGCTTGTTTTGCAGCGCCCAGCGATTACGTATTGGAGCCTTCACTGTTACGGCATTCACTCCACAGGCATTTTTACACAAAACATATTCCATATGTTTTCCTTGCTGCCATGTTAATAAAGGCACATTCTTTTTCTCATCTCAAGCGATCAGCAACATTTGGACCAAGAAACATTATTAAAAGCCCTTTTTGAGCTAAAAATTATCAGTATGAGCTGAAAATTAATGCCACGAGCTACAGTTGAAGAAGGTCGTAATCTTTGGATATGGTTAGACAATGTTTCTTCATTGTCTAACTTCTATCTTAACTCACTTCTACCCCAGTGGTAAAATCAGCTTGACCAGCTTAAACCCTGACCTTCTCTGCCTCTTGGCCCATGACTGGATTCACCATTACACCTTTTGCTTTTCAGAGCCTTTCCTTTTTAACCTTGTTTATTTTTAAGCCATGAGGTTCAGGATGATGAGGTTTAGGATGCGACCCAACACACAGCTGCACTGGTACGAGTCAGGTGCACAAACTGGTGCCGGGAGAGGAGGGAGAAGGTGACAGGAGAAAAGATAGGGTACATTTGGGAGTCTGATTGGACACGGAAGAAAATGCATCAAGCAGCACGTTGTACGAGCAAGAACAGCCATTTACATTTATGAAGTGCGAGCTTTGTCTGGAGATTTTCACTCTTGCAAGTTGGACTCAGCTTTCCATCAGAAGAAACCAACATCATACTGGGGGCACGGTTTCAAGGCAGGGATGATATCCTTTGTGTGTCGGCGACATGTGATATCACCTTTGCCTCCCACCTTGGACTGCCTGTGTAGGTAGGAGAGCACCTGGGACAGGAGGCTCAAATATCCACCCGGGGGCCAACTCCAGATCCCCCAGCGATGAGTCATTTTACAAAAGAAAGGAATTCTTCTTTACTTAATGACTCAGGAAAACATTATTCAAACCTAATGCTTTCTTTATATTTAACCAGGGAATTAATTAGGGAATGGTGATTAAGAAAGGAGAGGTCTAATGGAAAGAATACAGCCTGCCCTCCCCTCTGAAAATACTTAAGAAAAATAAAGCGGGGAAGAATTATAGTCTCATTCCTTCTCACAACCACTACAACTTACATCCTGAAAAATACTTAGCTTTGTAGTTTGTACCCTATAAATCACAACGAATCAGCTCTTTAAGGAAATGAGGAATGGAGGGGAAAAAATGCATATGGCTACAGTGCTCAGGCTGAGATGACAACAGACACTCCAGCAATAAAGTACAGGCATAAAGGCTGATTCTGTCCAGTTTAGCAACAAATTTTAAAACTCACCACACTGACATTTCAAATGTTAAGAGACAACTGCTACAAACAAGGGTTTTGCTCTCATTATTTTTCTGCAACTAAGTAATGCACCTGCCTTAGATACTCCTGCCAGCCATAGGGAATGAAAAAGGAGGATTCAGGTTTCCGCTCCTGCTGGCCCTATAACTGCACAGAGGGAAACGATCCTCCAGCACCTCTGAAGTCCCACCAACCTGCAGCTTCTCAGGCTGCATTGCAGTGGGCACCCATGGGTTGCAGCACCACCAATGCAATATCACCACGCTGGGGAAGGACTCTGCAGCCCCTAGAGCCAGTAAGAGCATCTCGCACCATCTCCTGCTGCGTCACTGAAGATTTAGTGCCTGCGAAAAGCAAAAGGCAGGTGGCTGGTATGGCGTTCAAGTGAGATGGCTTGAAGCCCTGATGACCATCTCGAGGGAATGTGCAAGACCGGCCATTGGGCTCAGCACGGCTGCCTGGATTTCACAGAATGCCAGAACAGCTGAGGGTAGATGGTGACTTTGGAGGCCATCAGGTCCAACCCCTGCCTAGGTGTTGTGATTATCGGGGCCCCGGAGCCAAACGCCTAAAGGGAATCCTGCAGCATGCTGGTGACTGGGCTTCCTTTTCAGCTTTGCTCAAAGAAGAGATTACACAGCTGCATTTCAGGCATTGTATGACTGACATTTATCACATTTCTCTGTCTCCATTCACAGAATATACTGCTCAGGGGCTGCTTAGCGAGCTTTAGCTAGCAATTTGTGCTGTGCGCTTCTTAATATCTATTCCAAAATTACTGCGTAGACACATCATAATCATTACCTTGCTTTCAGCTCCTATTGCCTACCCGAAACATATTTGAGGGAAGCTGCAAGATTGTGTAAAATCCCATCCAGCTCCTTCCAATACCAGTCTCTGCCATAACTTAGGTGAACTCTGCCCTCTCCCTCGTTCAGAGATGATCACTGCATACAACCAGCAGGTGTAATTTCGTAAAACATGACAGCGCTTTTATTCACTCAAGAAAGGCCCATGCCTGAGATCACATATCAACTGTGTTTCCTCTTGGCTCCTAGGGAGACAATTTAGTCTAGATGCCAGGTTGAAATTACTGGCAGAGCAGTAATGGGGAACTCACAGCATGGATATCAACATACTACAATATTTGGCTTATGGACGAAAGATGTTAAGGTTCCTAACCTTTTCTGTGCATAATATCTTAATTATATATTTGATTTCAATAAAAAATCCAATTTCACAGTAGGAAACGTTCATTCCTATTACCACAATAAAACGTTTCTCATCTTAATTTGTTGCCAGTAACTGCTATTTATTGACTAACCTTTAATTTTGTTGCTACTGAAAGAGTGTGTTCGCCTTACTTGGGGGCTAATAAGCAGTGCTACCCTGGTAGCACTCAGACCGGATACAACTCTGGAGTAAAACACGAGTAATAATGGCAAGGGCTTCCTACTCCACTGCTGCCATCATCTAGAGAAACAGACTAAATTAAATCAGCTGTGTGAATACTGCAAGACTGAAATTGATTTAATTCCTGCAGGAGAGGATGTGGGTGCTCAGCCCCTGGTACTCTCTAATTTAATGTTTCTTTACTAAGGCTACAGCTAGCGATGCTAATTAGGCTGAAACATAATGCAGTTTCACGATGGAAGTTTACAATAGTTACCAGGTGGAGGCCAAGTCGGACTCAGACATTTCAGTAAGGAGGGACCTGGGTATTAAGTACTTAAAGGCTTGTATACAATAGGGGCTTCTAGCTCACACTGAGCTACAATGCATTAACTGTAATACATTAGATGCATACAATCGCTAGGTCTACGTGAGCAGCTGCCTCCTACAGCAGTCCTAATAATTGCTTCCACAGAGCAAGGGCTTTCTTTAAATTAAGTGCTCAGCATTCTGCTTGGGCATCTCCTTTCTGGCATGACTGGGCCCCATAGAACGTAAATACTTGTCTTCCAGCACACAGCAGACAAAAGTAATATCAAATACAAACCAATCTTTCTCTGATTTCAGTGCATCACCTCATTAAGTGGACTAAAATGTTTGAGAATCATTCCTTCATGCAGCATTCCCTACTGAATGCTCACAAAGAATTCAGGACCTTTATCAAAGGTCCTTGTTTTTCACCAAAATTGCAAGTAGAAACTATAAATACATAATTGTTCAGTGAAAGTTCCTAATGGCTCTGGGTTGAACGTGTTACACCAATGTAACCAACACCAAAGCTAGCTTTTCCAACAGGTTCAAGGCAACAAACATTCCCTCTCATGTAAACCAATTGGCCTTATGCTCTGTATTTGGTTTGACTTCTTTTCTTGGCCAGTCTCCATGCTAGCTACAGCCTACAACCGCTACAGAAAATTCTACACCCGAATTTGAAGACTGCTGCTCTTAGCCAGTTGCCCTGGAGGAGCAGAAGAGCAATGTCCATGCAGCAGACTTGCTGTTTGCATCCCCAGCACACTGGGACCTGTGCCTACAGCATCCTGCAGGAGGTACAGGTAGCCAACACCAGGCAATGTACTCAGCAGGCAGTTTGCTCCTAAGCAATCTCCACAAACTGTACCTTCATCTTCCTGCTCTCTCCCATAATGCGAGGTGGCAGTAAGCCTTTTTTTGATGCAGCTGAAGCCTTTATGCATTAACTGGTAATCTCGGCTGGGGAGCACACTAACCCCCCTGTGATTCTGGAGGAAACAGTCAGAGACCTGCTGCTCCAACTGGACTGCCACAAGTCGATGGGGCCAGATGAGATCCACCCGAGAGTGCTGAGGGAACTGGCGGAGGTGATAGCCGAGCCGCTTTCCATCATCTGTCAACGCTCCTTGTTGACCGGTGAGGTCCCAGATGACTGGAGGCTTGCCAATGTGACTCCCATTTATAAGAAAGGTCGTAAGGAGGATCCGGGGAACTACAGGCCTGTTAGCCTGACCTCGGTGCCAGGGAAGGTTATGGAGCAGATCGTCTTGAGGGAGATCATGTGGCATGTGCGGGGTGACCGGGGGATCAGGCCTAGCCAGCATGGGTTCATGAAGGGCAGGTCCTGCTTGACCAACCTGATCTCCTTCTATGATCTAGTGACCCATCTGGTGGATGAGGGAAAGGCTGTTGATGTGGTCTACCTAGAGTTCAGCAAAGCCTTTGACACTGTCTCCCACAGCATTCTCCTGCAGAAGCTGGCATCCAGAGGCTTGGATGGATACACTCTTGGCTGGGTAAGGAGCTGGTTGGAGGGCCGGGCACAGAGAGTGGTGGTAAATGGAGTCAAATCCAGCTGGCGACCAGTTGTGAGTGGTGTTCCCCAGGGGTCGGTGCTGGGGCCTGTCCTCTTCAATATCTTTATTGATGACCTCGATGAGGGCATCGAGTGCACCCTCAGTAAGTTTGCAGATGACACCAAATTGGCTGGAAGTGTGGATCTGCCTGGGGGTAGCGAGGCCCTACAGAGGGATCTGGACAGGCTGGAGAGCTGGGCTGAAGCCAATGGGATGAGTTTCAACAAGGCCAAATGCCAGGTCCTGCACTTCGGCCACAACAACCCCAGGCGACGCTACAGGCTTGGGGCGGTGTGGCTGGAGGACTGCAT